TTTCACATTCCTCCGAAGGAGTAGCATTTTTCCACATGTAATATTATTTGCAGTCAAAGGATTGGGCCAGTACTCTTCACGACAATTTGTTCATGAGCACTGCGACATCAAAAGGAACAACGAGTGCCGTTACGCATCAGCAGCCAGCTTTAACTCTGCAAACATCGACTACTTTTGTTGGAAGCACTTCGAACAGTGACTGGCCTGTGTCTACCACAAAATCCTTACCACTGTATGCCAGACCACAGGTGTGTTAGTAGGTATATGTAGGTACCATATATATGCGTTACATAGTTTTTTTTAGCTTTTGCACATAAAAGTAGAAGAACTGCAGTTAGGAGTCTTGTTATGTGTATTTGTTTTATCTCACCGTTTATCTGCCTATGCTTTTCATAAGTGGTTCAGATGCGTGTTTCTTCTGCTCTACAACACAGTGTGGGCAGCTCGATATCGTCCACAGTTCCAAACCGTTCTTATAATGCAAGCTCGACCTGTCAGCCTGAAAACAACGTGTTGTTCAATCAAGTATGCATAATTGCTTAATAATTCATTGATTTCATTCCTAAATAAATGATTTCAGCTTGCCGCACAGTTGCTAATTCAACAACAAGGTATTTCCTCAACGACGGTCCCACCAGTTCAGTCGTACTATCCATCACCCTCGTATACCGATCCAGCCATTATTGGCATGGGTCATTTGTCTACAGCTAGCTCAGGCAGTGGTGGAAGTAACACGTCGTCAGGACAAACAGCAGTAAAATCGGCGTACACAAATCCTTACCAGGTATCCAGAGTATATATCATCAAGATAGAGTATGTTTTCTTGAAAACGTTAAAGTGTACAGGAAAGCAGACTTAGTTTCCTTAGCCTAGTGAATAGATATATAGATAAATATGAGCTGTAGAGTTCGTATCATAACGCTCTTTCATTTTGCTTTTTTATCCTTATATCGTTATGCCAATCTTTTTGTAGAATTCTTTGGGATCAAAATCACGTTTTCCGTAAATGACAAATGTCCCGTCCTCTAAATTCTCATAATGGATGTTCTCGATTTGATTATTTTGTTTCTTTTATATAAAACTGTTCTTTATCTTCTGAATCGTTGTTGAATTTCTACCGAAACTCTTTTTCTGTTTGAGTGAATTCAAATATATGTGGGATTCACACTGCGTCTATGTTCAGTGTGAGGCAGCGTTTCATTTTTTTTTGTTACCTGATAGGTGCACTGTCATTGTTGGGATGACGAACATACAACTGTGGCGGTTGGATGACTCATGTTACTTACTGACTTAGATACTTGAATGGCCGTCTTCACTGGTTGTACGGGCTTCAGCATAATCTCCATTTTTCGGAGATTTGTTCGTTAAGCCGTTGTGGTTGCCTGGAGTCCCAAGGTCGGCCTGGTCAAAGTTTGCCCCAGGTCTTCACCACCACAGGCAGTCGCAGCCCTTGTGGATCAGAGGAAGGTTTGCCACTATGCGACTGGTTTGATACCGGGACGGTGGTGGATCCTAGTATTGATTTACTCTTAGCTGGGCTTCGTGATAGAAACGCCGGACTCATTAGCTTGGGAGACTCTGCTAGGGGGATGAATCCCTCGCTGTACATCGTAGCCCGACACCCAGGAATACCTCCCAGCCACAATAAGACGGTAAACCGTTCGGAGGGAGTCATGGTAAATTCCGATAATTGGTGGTAAAGAAATAATAAAGCTAGAGTCAGTTTAGCAGTAGTACTTTTATTTTTTATTGCTCTATGTTTTCTTTCTGCAGGCTGCAAGTAACGAATATGAATCTTTGAATTCATTGCTAAATAGCTCTTTTGGACACCACCAAAATGGCGACTTCAGTATTACACATGTATGTTCTTTTCACAGTGTTGCCTAATTAGATGTCGAAATGTTGATAAGGAAGATTTCAATCTATTTGCTTCTTGTTAACATATGGTAATCAGTAATGTTATTGGTCTCATACAAAAGCTGATGCTGTTTTACATTTTTGACTTGGAAGCCGACGTTTGAAATCTGGTTTATCGTCGTAGGATTGTACCAAAATATTTTATATTGCAGCAGTCTTGTACGTATCCATCGTCACCATCTGCTACTCGCTCGTTGACCGCTCCTCGAATTCAGCCCAGTGCAGGAACTTTTGTTCCACCGCCTGGTTTCGGTGCAGTAGCTTCTTCACAAAGCACAGGTCTTGGTGGCGCCAATCCTGCAATACCACCTCCTTCGCTTCGACCTTACTACAACGCTCAGATGCCACCACCAACTGGTTTGCCGCTACAGCCGACACAACATACGTCATTTGCAACCTTTAATAGGTTTGCTTAGATTTTTAAAATTGCTTGAAATTGGCATAACATAAAAGACTCTGTAGTCTATAGTCCTCTCACCTTACTGATGCACTTCATTTTTTCTGGAGAGCTTTTTCACATCTTGGGATATTTTTAAGATTGCTTTTTTTTTCTTGTTCTGTACCATCATAGTATGACATATCTTTGCGAAGAAACTGGAGGTGTCCAGAAAATATTTAGTTTGATCGGTATGTTCTACTCAGCGAGTTCTTTTTCCCTCGACTACCGAGAGACCCGCTAACATATCTCTGCGAGTGCAGTTCGATATCCTCGAACAGCCATATCAAATCATTTATGGGGTATTTTTATCTAGTGAAAAAAATTCCGTTAGCGCATATGGTCTTTTTTGCCGCTTGTGAATCCAATTCCTGTGTGATATTTATGCTCTCAAAGCGTTTCGTTTGGAATGTCAGTACTGTTGCTGTTTGAATCTGATCTGGTGATTTGTTCTGATACTCTGTATCACACTATTTTCTGTAAGATTTTCAGTCAACAGAGCGGTTGGATGTCCTCCACTCATGGGAAGCAGACAGGAAATTTGCAACAACAAATGCCTTGGTGGAATTAGGCCAACTCGAAACATTACATGATTACATAGGATTCGATTTCTTCCTGACGTAGTCCTATCTTAGCCATTATACTCATGTCAGCGTTGCCATCGCTCCATTTTCTTTCATCACAAACTTCCCTCCTTTGTGTTATTTATGAAACGTCTGACGCATAGTATGGTTCGTTCGGGTTTCACTATAGTGGCCAGACGTGTTGTGACGACTTTGCATTCTTGGTACTTCTCACATCATTTGTGAATGCGAAGACCGTTACAAATCGTCTTGGCATTGCCTTTTGTTGTGATTTGCAATATGCGCAGCGCAGCTGCTTTGGTCTTCGTTTAGAAAGCTGTTTCTTGACGCGCGTCTCTCCAGTTTATACTTTGCTGTGCAGTTTCCTAACCGATTCACTCTCCACTACTATCTGCAGTTTACTTTCGATCGACTGTCATTTACCTTACATGTCTAGGCGATACGGTGTTCGCGATTGGTCGCCTCTCTATCTACTTGTGATTTACTTCGTTACATGCATCGGTGTTGTTCCCAGTTGGTATCATTATCTATGTGTTCTATTTTCTATTGGTTTCTACTGGATTTTTTTATCGGTCATGAAATCATCTCACACTGTCGTATTCTTTGGTACTTCGTGAAGTTTACGTTATCATTTCAACTCGCCTAATAAATTTAGAGTATTTCTGTGCTGTTTTCCATTGCTAAATTGACCGCTATTTCCGGTAATATGTATGAATGTAAGCTATCTAATAGATTGCTAATTATATAGGATGCTTACTTGGATGCTTATGACCCGTCTTCACTGATTGTGCGGGCCCCACTACAATTTTCATTTTTTTGGGGTTCCACTGGCTTAGCCATTGGGGTACCCTGGAGTACCCAGGTCAGTCTGACCAAACTTTACTCCAAGTCGTCGCTGCTGTAGTAGATCAGAGGGAGATTCGCCACCACGCGACTAGTTTGGTATCAGGTCGTTGACGGATCCTGGTATTGATTTACTCTCAGCTGAGTTCCCTGATTAAAACGCCGATCTCCTTCTCAGCTTGAGATATCGTGCTGGGTGGATGAATCCCCCTGCGCAGTACGACACCCAAGAACACCTCCCAGCCACGACGTAGTGTACGGTAAACCGTTATGAAGTATAGGGAGTTTGGTTTTGTAATATGGAAGTTCCAATCTTTCTTTTTATTTGGTGGATTTGCCATGCGTTAATATTTCTATGTCATGTAGAAGGCCGCATCTTCTTGTTTTTGTATTTCGTACAATGTATTTACTAGTTCAATTTTTTAGCTCCAAATGCATTTTCACCTGCTCTTTCGGCATAAATCAGCGTGGTATTCGCAGAATACGGCCATCAGGCTTTTAGGATTTTATAAACAGTTCGCGATGTTGGCAGTTTTTTTTCCAGTACACACTTCCAACTCCTTTTTTAGTTCTTAGTTATTTCATCATGGGTGACTTTCTTTCAACGTCTTCATTTGCCACACGTAGATGATTGTTTCGAGCTTATGAAGATCGCTTTTGTTAGGGCCTCATCTTGAGACTCCAACTTCTGTAAACTGCGATTAAATTGATGGAAATATTGTTAGATGTGATAGTAGTTCCTCGCGTACTACTTGTGCAACATTTTGTTTGAGCTCTATTTATATGGAAGGAATGACTAATGTCACGTACCAGGACGCGTGTAGCACAGTGGTCGGCGGCGCCCTCATGTGATTGACCTCTGTGCTCAAGGCTCACCAAGCATTCTATCCCACTGTGGGCATATCGGTACCAGACTTGTCAGGAATGATGGCTGCACTCTATACATCGGTAGGCCACCACGAACTATTGTAAAGGCCAAATATGCAATCACCTCCAATGATGCTCAAGGGGGTCGAATGCATGGCGCATCCCTCAGGGATTGATCAACGCCACGAGCTTTACTCTTTTCTTTTATCACTTACCACTCTGAGAAGAGTTGAGTGGAATGCGTTTGAAGCAAAAGAATTGAAATAAATTCATAATATAGATTGCAAAATTGGAAACTCGTATGTTGCACATCCTTAACTGACAACGTCTTCCATCTCAGCAGTTTTGTTTAGATGAATTTTTCACGCCTATTTCGAGGGTTCCTCTATGTCCCAGTGGTCTCACGACTTGGAGCCAGTACGTTTGATTCTGTTTCTTACTAATGATCTGGACGTTTCCTTAACCCGCTATTACATGGTTCATATACTGTGTGTTGCTGGCTATCTGAGATAGTGCTTTTCAGCAGGGGTGGGAAATGAGGCTGTGTACTAGAGAACGAGCAGTTGAACATATGAAAGCATGATTTTCGGGGTCAGGAATTGTTATTAAGATCTTAGGTTGTGGATCAATCTCGAAAGTGCATGTGAACATTATGGAGGGATCCTAAATTTATTTCTTTAGGAATGGCGTTAATGAACTGCACTTGGCTTGTTTGAATTCTACCTCCAAACATTACAGGGTTATAGTATGTGTCTGTAGAAATAGTCATGATAATAATGAATTTCATAGACCAACAGAAGAAACTCTGTCCTATACATACTCTATAAAGATAAATGTGATTTTTGTAAAATAGTCTTTGCGTTCTAAATTCTTTCAAAATTAAAGTTTTGGAAAGGTCTAGGTGAAATTTCAAACACAAGGGCGTTAAACACTGGCGGAGCAATGTATTGAGGAGCGCTATAATGTTCTGCTGGTTGCAGTTGTGCAGCGGTTTTGCTGCATGAGATACGAACCTATCTCACCAATCGTGTGGTTGTTAAACAGCTTGCGTTTACTTCCATACAATAACACACATACAACGCAATCGTAGCTGACGTTTCGGCAGTATCGCCTTCTTCAAAGCCTGGAAGGCTATAGGAAAGATATGCGACGCTGATCAGCGGCTCTTCCTCAGTGGAAGGCACGTAAAAAACGGTGGTTTTTTCGAGAAACTGTTGACCATGTTGGTACCATTTAGATTATCATCTTTCTGTATGTTTTATTGAAGCGTTTGACATATTAAATTGTATATCAGTATACCCTTTCAGACTCTGAAGAAGGCAATTCTGCCGAAACGTCAGCTACGATTGTGTTATATGTGTTACTGTATGGAAGTAAACGTACGCTATTTACCAACCTCGCGACTGTAATTATTTCATTTTTGGCGAATATCGTTGACGCTTTTATCCTTAGACACAGCTTCGAGAGTATTGCAGCCCAGATATTTGTAATAATTCGATGTTTATGCAGTAAAAAAAACTCGGCATAACATTATGGATAGATGGTGTGTACCTTATTACTTACTTGACACTTGAATGGCCCCTCACTGGTTGTGCAGGCTCCCTCATAATCTCCAATTTTTGGAGATTTGCCGGTTAAACCGTTGTGGTTTCTTGGAATCCGGGGTCAGCCTGGCCAGTCTTCCCCCCGTTTTTTCCCCACCACAGGTAGTCGCAGCCCTTGTGGATCAGGGGGAGATTTGCAACCGTGCGACTTTGATACCAGGACGGTGGTGAATCCTGGTATTGGTGGTGCATCTTATTATTGGAAATTAGTCTTTATTTACTGCCTATTACATCCTTCATAGTAGGATGTTGATGTGATTGGTACATAGTGTGAAATGCAGTCACAACGATGCCGACATGCAAGCAAAACTCGGAACCCAAAGTGAATTTCGAACCGGCTACCTCTCTTCCCGGAGCTCATCCGTCAGGGTCCTTGCACTGTCTTTCTCTAAGGAAATTTTTTCTACCCTAACAGTGCTATTAGCAATCACCCGTCGACCGGAATGATAGCATTGCGAGTTTTGCTCACATCTTCTTCGTAAGTTCATGTTCGTAGATTTATTCTCGTTCATACCTGGATAACTCAACCTCTGAGGCAAAGTATTGTTCACTTATTCCAGGTTATAGTGTTGTCATAATAATTCCTGACAAAGTGCTTGAGTTTGACGAACAAATCGTCTTAGATGGAAACAGTTGTAATCGCTCAGTGAATTGCATGGTTGTGTCGTGTTAAAAGAAAAAGCTGGTTCTCCACGTTGATTGACTAGCCGTTTTCAGGAAGTTTAAGGAAGTTTCAACTTAAACTGGATAACGACGGTTTCTTAATTTCTGTCATTTAGCTATATATTTTATGAAAACTTTCAGTGCACCGTTTGCTCTTCATCCAAGTGCAAGAGACGCCCAATCCGTTGTCACTAAAATTTTTGCCCCCCAAGGCAATTCTTGACCATCCAGCAACGTATGAGTTCAACAACGTGGGGTCGGCGAAGCATAGTCCTTTGGCACGGTGGGTTTCCATTTCTGTTTCAATATGGGTGGTACAGTGTGAATGCCGTCCCTTCTGTGTCATACCAAGCAAGACTTAAATATGTGGCAAAAGGTTTCAGATCTGTGTAACTCAATGGCTACTTCTATGAGGAACAATCTTATACGTTGATGCTGAGATATTTGCAAAACTCCGGACCGCAGGTGTCTGCGTTGGGGAACGAACGCGCTATTGCCCTTTCCGGGGGGTAACGCGTTCACTATCACACCTTGCGGGTCTTTCGTTTCGCCTGTCTCTCAGCTAGTTCTATCGATCATTGCCATCAGCAATCACCCGTCAACGGGATTGATCTGAGGTGCCCAAATCGGTATTGAACCCAGTATAAGCTGAGGCTATAGTTGAAATTCACAATGTTGACTTTTTATTTACTGCCTTTTACAAGTTTTCAAGGCAGGGCATTATTTGTGAAACAACCATAATGATACTGAGAGACAGGCGAAACGAAGGACCCGCATGGTGTAGCGGTGAACGCGTTAGCCCCTGGAAAGAGTGATAGTGCGTTCTTTCCCCACCGCAGACACCTGCGGTCTGGAGTTTTGCAAATATCTCAGCATCATTGTGGTTCTTTAACAAATATCTGCTGTAAGAACTTGCAGAAGGCAGTAAGTGAAAAGTCAATATTGTGAATCTTGTACATTGTACAGTTATTTAGAGTGATGGTTTACGTTGAAAACTAACGTTCTATGGCGACGAGTAGATAGTATGCTGCCCATACTGAGATATGAGAACAAATTTTTCTGTAGTTTATGCGAAAAAGAACGGAAATTTGGCAGGAGTAGTCAATGGGCAGGCAGTTGGTTTTCAATGTGTTCGGACTCTGTGCGCAAAAAATTGAATATCACATAATCATGAGGGGCATACATTAAGTTACCATACACGTGGGGCACGATGGTCCTTATCACGGCATGCATGTTAGGAAATACACTTTGAACTAAGCCGAGCAGTATCGTAATATGAATGAGGCGTCAATAGAACATGGAACATTGTGCAGCCAACAGAGGGAGTAATTTTATAAAAGGACCGGATATTCTGTATGATATGTAGAGTAGTTTGTTTACTTTTACAACCGTTCTACGAAAGTACACTTTCCTAACAATTCAATAGTTGTATGACCTTATATGAAGTCATATGTAAGATTGCACCGTGGTCACTGTGATCGCTATGAAGGTCATATTCCCTTTAGTTTATTTTCCAGGGAGCCTTTTTCTCACACTTTCTCACTCTCACACGATCAACTGATGGCCTATTGAACCCAGGTTTTGTACCTGACGTCACTCATAAATACCTATTTTCGATGCTGTACTCAGTTTGAAATCTACATGAAAAAGGGTTTTTGTACGAATATGATCATCCCTGCAAAGACAGTTGCTAAAGAGAGTGCGTGTTAGGGGCTGTTGTCTTTGAGGAAACATCTCTGTTTCACTTGAACGGTGAGGTCCGAACACTTAGAGGTATCTTTTCGCTACAGTAGGATAGTATGTGATTTAAAAGACCTGAGTAGATGAATTGTACTGTACTTGTACACTGAGTATCAGCAGAGCTATCATGAGTTATGTCAGTTTTGCCAATTAGCTCATCGTTTTCTCATTTTCGAATGCAAAATGAATCCTGCTTATTGTGCATTGAATGGCAGAATATAAATAGTTAAGGAAATGGCAACGACGTGATTGGACAGTGCTCTCCTTCAGCACGCAAGAGCTGGAGGAGCTCTGAGAGCTGATTGAGTTATAGGTGATAGTACATGAGAAGCACAAATTGTTTCTCATAGAATAGGACGATCTATGGTTTATCACTGATTATGGAATGCTTTAAAACGGATTACCCTGCTCATACTTACTAATCAAAGAATACATTAAATACTCACCTTAGCAGCATTCTTGGTGTTATTGTTTTAGTAATACAAAAAGCAAAGAATCTCCCAGACGTCGCGCATTTCCAGTTGTGTATTATAGATATCTTCATATCCCCTCAATCTCTCAGGTTGTAGCCTTCAGTGGTAACTTGTCACCCTTCTCTCTAGCAGCTTGATCTGCGCATCGAATAAAACCTTTGTGCAAAGAGCAGTTTGCTGTCATTTGTAGAATATAGGATGTAGTTTTCTCGTCGTACGCCATCCTTGTAGAAAAAGCTGTCAATTCAATACGGAAAGTGTGGCAAATATGTTTTGTAAGATGAGGTGAACCACCGTTCAGAAGATGCATTGAAATCAGTGAGCACTGTTGCGAATGTGTTAAATAAAACCTGGTGATATTTGTTGGTACTTTGTATATTTCAGTGAATTGTTCCTTGTGGATGGTGTTCGTTCTGTGTTCTTTGGCGAAGATTTCATCACGGTTACGAAAAAAGATGAAGAAATGGACTGGGGTATAATGCGAGCTCAAATATTGTCAACAATAGCCAATTTCATTGAGTCTGGAAAGCCTGCCATACTTCCCAATGGGCCGTCTCCTGTTTACGAAGATACAGGTACATGATCACCTGCTGTTATTTTTTAAATATTTGGTCCGTATTTCGTGTTACTAATGTCCTTCGTCATCTTTATATTTCTCTTGTCGGCGTTCATTACTCATTATCGATGTTCCTTCGTGTTAATAACAACCAGGATTTCGCAACAAAGTACAAATAAAACAATTACAATCGGTTTTTTTTTATACTATTGTTCTAAATAATGTGACAGTTCAGCTATTCACGAAGAGGATGACGACACTGTAGCAATGATCAAAGAACTGCTAGATTCTCGTGTTCGACCTATGGTTTTAGAGGACGGTGGTGATATTACGTATGTTGGGTTCGATGACGGGATTGTAAAATTGAAGCTGAAGGTATGTGTTGGCTTGTGAACCTTTTTTTGCGCACTTTTCTGGACTACTATTCTGCGAAAAGTGCTGGAAAACGTTGTCCAGTATCTTTAGTGTCACCTTCATTTTGTTCATCTTGCTATCTAGGCGCATATTTGCGTAACGATACGCATCACCTACGGACAATATTTTATAGGCGGTTTGGGCTTCTATCCAGCTTGTTTCGAATTCATGAAAGTCTTAACCTTTTCAAATCCCTGAAATCTATTTAGCCATGAGTAAATCAGCACTAGTTCTTCAGCTCAGCCAGTGTGTGAGCGTCTTGAAAATCAGAGCTGTGAAATTGTATCTGCTGCTGTGCATTCGGCATAAACAACAACTTAGGGTGAAGAACACTTGGTTGATGCATAAGAGGTTATGTGCCTTAATTTCAATGCATGTAGTGTGAAAATGATGATTGTTTTCAAGTTCAAATCTATACATCGTAGCTCATGGTAAACTTCATTGACTTATATAGAAACTGCTATGAAATACCTTTTAAATGGAACAAAACAATAAGTAGGAGTTAGAACATTGTGAATCCTTCTGCAGCTTCAACTTGACTGCGTTCAATGCCGATTTATTTTCCTAGATCACTCCTGTCGACAGGTGAATGCTGGTGACACCGTTAAGTAGAAAAAGGCAATGCAAAAGCATTAGTAAATTTTGTCTCATTCACTAAATAATAACCAAATAGAGTGAGGAGAGTAATGGTTGTTCCATCGAGAACAGTGTGCGTTGTGTGGTTCTAAAAAACCCCATTGGCTGTATGCAAATAATCAGTTAGTAGATGCAACTTCAGTTGTACATCAAACCGTTGAAATTGACTGAAGAGAGGGAAAAGTTTATAGAAGCTGCCATGATAGTGGATTGAAATGTTTAGTGAGGAATGGTTGCGCAGCTAGCGAGTTATCAAAGGAATCGATTTGTTAATACGTGCGAAAAGGTGTAGTTGCTGAAAATTTTATATCGTTTGTTATGTGTAAGTGATTGAAAACCAACTGATGTGTATGCATTTCACAATTTCTTACTTTTATTTAGGGTTCTTGTACAGGTTGCCCGAGTTCCTCAATAACTTTGAAGTCGGGAATTCAAAATATGTTACAGTTCTACGTACCAGAGGTGTTGTGTTCTGTTATTCAAAATAGTTTCATAAGAGCAGCGATGTTTTTTTTTCATTTATTTTCGGACTGCCTATGGAATGTAATGCTCGCTTTTGCAGGTTAAAGAAGTGGTAGAGGTAAAAGATGAATCAGATGATATGGTTCAACAAGAGCTAGAGAAGTTTGAACGTAGTCGAGGTATAACTGACTGACTCCGATTTGTGAAAATCCATTTTTGCCTTGTGATGAATTCGTTTTATGACGAGATGTTTAATAGCTAGACACTAGATATAATAGATATGTAGATAATACTCGCAGTATTGATTGTATATAGCCATAAATGCGGCTCATATAGATACACTTTTGAGTTTTTGTTCATTGATTACTTTACCACTCTTACCTCAAAGAGATACCATATGTGTCGCCACATGTCGACGTACCGTAGAGGTTTCGCTAGAAACCAATCATAAATCAGCCTCTTGATGAACTTACTATGCAGTTTATTTCCTCAAGTTAATGTTGCCTATTCTTAAAGTTCTACTCACTACCTCACCCAATTTATATGTGGTTTGTCCTTTAAATACCAATTTTCATTTCACAGTTAGCCATTGTAACATGGATGGTTCTAATGCCTCTTTCGTGCTGTTTTCACAGCTGTTTCTCTTTTATTTGTGTTATTCTTCATTAATTTCCAGAATAGACAACCCACATGGGTTTCCGTGCATTTTAACTCTCGATAGTTTCTTCTGTTGTAAGATGTGCCTTATATAGTTTCGTATTCGATCGATACCTTCATCTACACAAATGTATTAAGGGGCATGATATGAGAAGAACTATATTCTTTGTTTAGCAATTTAGAAGAAAATGTTTTCCGTACGAGTTTGCTTGTCAGCCCATAGATACTGTTCCTGATGATGCGGTTATAAAGGTAACAATAATATTCTTTGTTCACGATTAAGCTGACGTTTCGGCGGACTTCGCCTTCTTCAGAGCCTGGAAAGGTCAAGTTGATACCAATCCACTCGGTCAGACGCCTCCATAACCAAACAAAGAAACTCCAAACCAAGATTTCAATCACTTTGAACGCAGCTTTGCACACTGACCGCTTTCTATGAGGTTTCCACTAAGTATGTTACGTAGAGACCAACCGCACGGAAATCACATGGAAGCATAACGTGCCCTTCCCATCAGAATAGCAGTCTTATATACTGCCCTATATCACGCGTGATAATGAGGCATTCTTCCCTGTGGTTCATTTTTGGATTTATGGAATTAATCCAGAGTGCCTCGAGAGTTTTTCGCGCCTGTGTTCTTGATTCTCGTGCGAGGATCGTGACACATACTTCGAAGTCGTCCCCGTTATGTCTCTGGGTCCTATGCATGCCTAGCGGGGTATTTGGTCTATTTTTGTCGGCTAGGTGTTCTTTCATGCGGACACAGAGGGGTCTACCCGTTTCGCCAATGTATTCGTCACCACACGTCAAGTAAGTAGGTAGTAAAGTAGTAAAAATAGTAGTAGTAAAGTAGTAAAAAGTAGAAAAGTAAAGTGAAAAGTAAAGTAAAGTGCCAAGTAGTAAAAATATCTTGGTTCATTACCTCTCCCCTCACCCTTCTCACACGAAAAAGGGTGCTTATAAGAAACATGTTTCGAACAGCAACCAACGTGTGCACGGGAAGAGAGCAGAGAGAGGAGCCCCGGAACTTGGCACGGCAAATAGCCGTTCCTAATGGCTACGAAACTGTAGCTCAGAATAGGTGTAGAGGAAATCGTAGGCCTCCAAACGACAACTCTAGCGATGGAAGGGTCCCGTTTATCCTACCCTTCATCTCAAATGATATAAGTACAGCTATAAAACGCTGCTTAAGAAGGGCGGGCTTAGAGAATTCGGTGAGCGTAGTTGAAATACCACCGAGTAATCTTACGCGCCAGCTAGTTCGTAACCGTAAAAATTTTGAAGCAGTCTGCATGTGAGGAAAAATTAGCTGTCGTTCCGTCTGGAAGGTCCTACGTGGCCACAAGTGTGTTTGTAAAACGTGCTCTGTGACTCGTACATAATTCGATTTCTTTCTGCTCACTTATCTCTCAGTGCAAAAAGTTTATTCATCGTTACTTGATAGCTTACCAATCAAAGATATTGTGTTCATCATCGTTTGAGAGAGGCCGCTGTTTACATTTAGTAGCTTACGAGAGCCACCTTCAAACGAAGGAGATATTCTATATAGTAACTGTATTCGTTGCCACCAAAATGATTGTGAACGGACTAGCCGTTCATGACGTGCGATTTCATCAATGTGTTTCCAAAATGTGTGTCCATGGAAACATTTCATATTCTTAGCTCGTTCTGGTGATCGTTCAGGAATGTTGTAAATGCTATGTCCAAAAAGCTAACGTTACAGCATGTACTTTTTAGAGATCCACAGTTTACTTTTTCTCAGGTACAACGCTGTACCCGCAATCTGTAAATACATTTCCTTCAAAGTATAGAGCTTTCGGCGTTGATCAATCCCTGAAGGATGCGCCATGCATTCGACTTCATTAAGTATCGCTTGGAGGTGATTGAATACATATCTGAGCTTCACAATGACTTGCGGTGGCCTACCGATGTATCAAAGCAGTGCTACTATCCTCCCAAACAAGTCTGTCGTCGATGGGAGGATGGAGGGCTTGGTGAGCCACGGGCGTGGGGACCGATCCCACGTGTGTGTTGCAGGGCGCCTCCGTCCACTGCGCGACACGCGCCCTAACTTACATTTGTAATCATTATCTGCAGTTCTTGCATTTCATACTCTTTCCATAGACATTAGAAACTTTCCCATACTTTCTATTTTCAATCTCGCGTTAGCTCAACAAGAAGAATTTTCAAGAATTTAATAGTTTGATTTTTCTCTACAATTTATACCTCCTAACGGTTTACCGCCTCATCTTGGCTGGCAGCTGTTCCTGGGTGTCCGGTTGATTTGTACAGCGGGTATTCATCCCTCTGCAGTGCCTTCCAAGCGGGGAAGAAGTCCGGCGTTTCCATCAGGAAGCCTAACTAAGAATAAACCAGTACCAAGATCCATTACCGTCCTAGTATAAAACTAGTCGCATGGTGGCAAATTTCCCTCCGGTTTAGAAGGACGGCCACTGCCTGTGATAGTGACGACCTGTGCCAGACTGCCAGGTTGGCCTCGGAACCCCAGGGAACCACGATGGCTAAACCGGTAAAACTCCGAAAAGGTGGAGATTGTCCTGGGGCCCGCAGAGCCAGTGAGGACAGGCCATCAAAATAATTAAGCAAGTAAGTATACAATTAACAGTTTCTATAATGCTGAGATATTTGCAAAACGCCGGACTGCAGGTGTCTGCGATGAGGAACGAACGCGCGCTATTGTCCTTTCCGGGGTGTAACGCGTTCACCACCATACCATGCGGGTTCTTCGTTTCGCCTCTCTCTCAGCATGCCATGAAAAAGAATAGCCAGTAAATAAAAAGGTTAACAATTTAGAGTCTTTGTAATTCGTAACTTCCATAGTTATCACCTTTTATGGGGATTATTCAAACAGTCCAGAAAAATGTAACTGTTGCATTAGTTGCATAGCTTTCACTTTTGTAGTATGGTTGTAAACATAGTTGACGTTCTGACATCTAGATAATTTCTAATAACCGTCAACTTCACGAGCCAGTCTGTCTGACTCTGGAACGATCGTCTTTAAGACACGCCTCTTGTGAATGCTGATACTTCCCTCTTATCAATTTGAATTACACTTGACTCTCTAATTTGACTCTTGAGATCATGCATCCCTGTTTTCCTGCACGTGTCACAGTCCTCTTCCGAATTTTCACTATGAATGTCCGCGTGACCAGGTGGAAGATCATAGACTTACTTGATACTTGACACCTGAATGGCCCGTCCACACTGGTTGTGCGGACCCCAGCATCCATCTTCCGGAGATTTGCTGGTTAAGCCATTGTGGTTTCCTGGAGTCCCAAGGTCAGCCTGGTCAAAGTCTGTCCCAGGTCGTCACCACAACAGGCAGTCGCAACCCTTGTGGATCAGAGGGAGATTTACCACCATGCGACTTTGATACCAAGACGATGGTGGATTCTGGTATTGGTTTGCTCTTAGCTAGGCTTACTGATGAAAACGCCGGACTCTTTTTCAGCTTGGGAGACTGCCGGGTGGACGAATCCACCGGCTGTACATCACAATCCGACACCCAGGAACACCTCACAGCCACGATGAGGCGGTAAACCGTTGGGAGGATCATAGATGTCTTCCTAATTCATGGTTAAGTAAAAGCAAAACGCACCAGTCAGTTGCTAGATCTCCTGATCTGACCAGCAATCAATGTCATCAGCACCGATTCGATAGGGACACCACCTGGGGCATCCTTATCGGCCGACGCCAATTCTGTGCGTGTTGCTGCCTGTAGCGCATAACTGAAATAACTAGACTCCGTATTTGTACCTCTTATGTGAGGTGCGTAATCTTGTGAATAAATAAATAATTGTGATTGTCTGGGAGGATAGCAGCACTGGCTCTATACTTCGGTAGGCCACTGCGGGTCATTGTAAAGGCCAGATATGCATTCAATCACCTCCAAATGATACTTAGTGAGGTCGAATGGATGGTGCATCCCCGGGAACTAATCAACGCCGAGAACTTTATTCTTTATTCTTTATCCATGAATTGTTTGCTTTCTCTTTTGCAGTAGTTATGATTTGTTATATAATAGTAATAGTATAAAAAAAAATATAAAATGCTGAACTATAAATAAAAAATGAGTCGAAACTCAATTATCCTTTCATCGAACAAGTAAAGAATCGATGGAAGTGGTGGTATTTCGTTGGCGATTGCGAACGATCACCACCTACATGCTGAATTGCACCCAACACATCTTACGAAAGGAACTGTCAAAGACCTTCCGCATTATGCCTGGACGATTTTTTCATCACGAGAGTTGGATGCGCTGTAAAACGATGGATTGATGCTTAGAAAAGAACGGAATTCACTTCACCTGTCGTTATCAATCATCCTATTGATCGTCGAGTGACTAGAGCTGGCGCAAGTAAATCACCCATTTTTCCTCGTCGCGTGCAAGAGTAGCCCAGTGGGTTCTGCTCGCAATAGGGAGCCGTTGAGCACCATATCCTTCTGCTAGGGTTTTCGTGAAGAGCTCTGACCATCATCTTGGTGGTCTTTTTGCTGTATGTTTGGCATCTCGAGAA